GGTATTGTAAATACCTACTGTAATTCTTAATCGATGAATTTTAAAGTTTACATTACTGTAAAGCAGCAATACATAATCGATTTCGCATGAATACTGTGAGGCCAGATGAACGCTGTTTTTCATTATTAAACACAGTCATAATTGCACTCATTTTGTTAGCACAAGCACAATTATAACTGCAGGGGTCAATTCAAAAAGTAATGTTCACGTAGATTAGAGGCCATGGAGGCAATGTCAGTTCCTAGGTCATTTCTTATATTCAACTTGGCAACCGTCGTTAAAATTCATAGAACTCGTATTCAGGGTCCAATTTCGCTTACTGAGAGTCCAAGAAAAGTAATGTGCCAAATAGCAAAGTCTTGGTATGTAAAGGTTTGAACGACGGTAACAGCAGTGCACATAACAATCATAGAGAATTTCAGAGCGAATTCTTTCTTCTTATATAATCACGGCGTATCCAAAGTTGATCACAGGGAAGGAGAAGTCTTCCTGGCCCCATTTGATCCTCTGAAGATGTTTGTGTTTAGCAGATTTGGGACTACTCTTTTGATTGTTTGATCGGGGTTTTAATAAATTGGCATTATTCACTTACTGTCTGTCAACTTGGCGATACCACTCACGAAGCGGTACCATTCAATCAGTACATTCTATGCAGAACTTCTCTAGTACTTCTCCCAAGTTGTAAAGAAACGGTTGGTGCCTTTCGGGCGGTCTAGTGAATATGCTTTACAGTTTGATGTGTAGTACTCGTATTGGGTAAACGCAGTCGTTTCAGAGGGTTTTATCCAAGAACTACTGCTCGATAAGTGCAGGAACCTTCACAGCCATAACAATGCGTTACTCTTCCAAAGTGCCACCCGGCCCGGTTGTTTGGAAGGTTACAGAAATACAGCTCGCTGATAGCTGATTCAGCTAGATGGCACTACATTCATGTCTTTTATACGTCCTACAGTAGCCATCATCCTACAGTAGCCATCGACTACTGTACGCATGCCTTTTTTTGTAGAGCCTTCAAACAATTGATTTGTCGTTTTACTGTAAAAACTTTGTGGATCGGATTTTTTGCTCAGACATTGCCTTCAGTTCGTCTTGCACTACTCAATTCAGCTCCACCTGTACTGAAGAGGTACAAACAATGAGTTTCAACTGAATTCGAGGTAAAGTACAATGTGAGATGATATGTAGGTAACCAACTAGTTCGTATCGCTGAGTTTTTGGCAAAAAGGCATCAATCGTGTACTCCTTCGCTTTCGCCTATTAAAGTTGGTTATCCTAATTTGGCCTACCGACTTAAGGCGATTCGATTTGTTCTCTTTCCTTCATTGGGCATAGAATAAGGCGTTGTAATAAATTTGTACCCACGTATACTTTATCTATTTATTTTTATAAAATTAATTCATAAATACGGTTTGGCAGGAAGCAAAATTCCAAAGTACAGTAGCAACTAACAGCGTATAGAATCGCATAATAGATCCGCATATGATGCCTCACAACTTATCGAATCATCACCCACGCATACCATAACCAGAAAAGCTGTATTGGGGAAGTAGAACCTGTTGCATCGGATAGCCATAGTTCATGAAATGCGTTTCGCGATTAGTAGCACCGTTTCCTGGAACTAGTTATTGCATGACTTTAAATATTGCTATCAAAGAGGGAGGGTTGGAGAACTCGGATCAAATGTAATTTTTGGAGAGGTTTTCGATTTTATAATTTATTTGCATGTTGTGATGATCGCTGGACCAGGGCGGTTACGGACTGGATCCCTCGGGAGAAGCGAACACCAGAGCAACCGCCGACCCGATGATCAAACCTCTTCACGAAAGCTCTGAACGAAAAGAACGCTTTGTCCCGCGTCCCTTGGGCGACCCACTGGATTACTCCGGCTCGCGACAGGGACGAATGGAGGCGCCCGCTCAGAGGAAATCGATGATCCATGGGACGACAGGTGATACAGATGATAATTAATTCTAAAATCGTACATCTGAAGCTGCATTTCGTTCAGAGCAAAAAAATTTATGCTCTTCAGAACAAGTCCTCATGTACGTGAAGTAACCTACAGTTCTAATAACAGTACATAGTAGCTACCCAAGTATAAACGTCAAACTCATCAGCTTCTATATCGTTCTGTAGTTGTAAACAAGCAAACTGAACGAGTTGGAGGCCAATATCGGGCAGAATTCAATAGAAACGGGTGACTTCATTGTTTCCTTTGTCTTTAAAAAGTTCACAAAGATGATGCCAACCATATGGTGTAGGATACCCATCGAAAGCCAGGTACTGCATTGAATACGGTTGAATGCCTGGTTGTTGATATCCGTAGGGAACCAAACGGAACATATTGTAAGTATCTAAAAGAAATTGAATAAACTCGGAAAAGAATTCTCACTATCCTTTTTTCCTACAGCCACCGGGGCACTGAAGCCCTCGTTGTTTGGTAATATCCCTACCCTTGTTTTCCAGTGAGATTTCAAGAAAAAGAGTTTTCTAGTGAAGTGTTGTGTACACGATACAACAAAAAATCAACTACGCACTTAGTTTCTGACCAGTATTGCTGTCAATGATGTCAACGGCTATGGGTTGAGGAGCCGAAGGAATCGGCTGCGGTGGCACCATTGTTCCAGCTCCTGTATGAAAGATGTAGAACTCTTTTGGACTATAGTAATGGAGATTTCCTTAGTCTCATAAGTTTTCACAGAAAAAGTTGGATTAGATAACTTAATTTAGGAGAGTAACAAGAAATTGGAAAGTGTAAACGAACAGGTTGGATTGAGGGTAAAGATGGCTTCCTAATATTCTTCAAGTTCAAGCTGTCAGAGTCAAAACCATCCAAAATATTTAGTTCACCCATGGGAGATGAAAGTGTATGAACGATAGGATTCTAAGAATCATTCGGAGCTCTGGAAGTACGGACGACATAGTGACACCAACCATTTTTCCCTTCCTGGACAGAAAACGACGTGCTTACAGATTTGGTACCTTCCATCTGATCATGGCCAGCAGTCGGATAAGCAGAATAGTACGGTAACTAAAT